CCCCGCCTCCTGGAGGTGACACCTTCTGTGTGTCAATCAGGTTATCACCTTCTGGGAAAACCAGTGACAGCAGACAGACTGTGTGCCTTATGTGGAGGCTCTATAAGTAATATTCACATCAAAGGGGGATGTTCCATCCCTCATAAAAGATGAAATCTTAGTTGGAGAGATGAACATGATTCCTTCTTGTAGGGCGCTCTGTGCGCTGCATTTACATATAAGAATCATATTTGTGTCTTGGGGAGGAGCCAGGGAAATGCATGGAATGATTAGATGACGCGGGGGTGCGACAGTCGGATGGTGTTTGGTACTGTTGCGATCGGGCTGACGCGCTGGTGGTGTCAGAAATCCAATCCCCGACTTGGTGTTCAGGCCAGTCTCGGCCCAATTGAACTTGGGCAGGTCCACACACGGTACCTCTTGTGGGCGGATCAGGACAGGACCACCTCCCCCAGAGTCAATTGGCTGAAGACTAATGTCCCGCCCATGTCCTAATCGCCATAAATTGAACGCACGGACATTTGGACAGGGTGATCCGTACGGAGCTGGTCGATTGACCAATGGATGGCTGAGTTTCTGGCTCGCTCCAGCCGCAGGGGAACGTGTTATTCTGTCTTTTATTCCCTTTTATAGTAATTAGTCATTTGTGTGTCTTCTTATATCTTTGTATTTCTGGAACTTGTTATATTTGTACATATTTTATGCCCCGCCCACTTCGGAAATTGAATCTTAAAATTAATTAGTGACTTTTGTGTATTTAAGCTCGGGGTCATATCTCTGGAGAGACGAGATTGGAGAGATTAGATTGGAGAGATTAGATTGGAGAGATCAGATTGGAGAGATTAGATCGGGGAGATTGGATCGGAGGGATTGGATCGGAGGGATTGGATTGGAGGGATTTAGATCGGAGGGATTAGATCGGAGGGGATTAGATCGGAGGGATTAGATCGGAGGAATTGGATTGGAGGGATTAGATTGGAGGGATTAGATTGTATTGTATTTTAGTGCCTTTAAAACGCTCGGTTTAAGCACATTGCCAATCTGTATGCCACTGCACTGTGAGTGGGCAGATTGCGTGCAGATTGTAACAGATCTGCCAGACGGAGATCTGTGTGTGTGTGGTGTCCCAGCAGACCGTTCTGCTGATAAACTGTTGGGTGGTGGCAGGCTACCTTTGTGGTGCGTCTGGTGTGGGGGAGGGGTGGACAGTAGAAGGGTTATCAACACCGGGGTTCAAGCTAGGATAGCTGGAGGGAATCTAGAAGGGTGTGTGATTACTAAGCTGGTCCTCAACTCTAATCAGGGCACCAGGTTGTGTGTAAGATTGTATCTGCCAGTGTGTGGCCGACCAGCTGGACTGGAGTGGAGTCTCCCCCCGGTGGTGGCCAGAGGTAGTGCGGGCTGTGAAAAGGTATCACAGCTGATCTTATAGACCAGTGGTCGGCAAGCCGCGGCTCGCGAGCCACATGCGGCTCTTTACACATTTTAATGCGGCTCTTCTGTGTGCCGGGCGGCCGAGGACTCTGCAGCTAGCCCAGCAATGATTGGCCAGTCTCGCTGCCACTCACATCCTGATAGCTAGTGATTGGCTGTCAGGATGTGTGTAGGCGGGGCAGCGTGACGAACGTGAGGGGAGCTAGGCTCCTCTCACAGTCAGCCCTGAAGACCGGAACGGCGCTGGGAGCACGGCGAGAGGAACGCGTGGAGCAAAGGTAAGTGAATTGACACAGGGGGGGCTTGGCTTACTACTACTATTTTAGGGATGAATTAATATGGGGGATGAATTACTATATGGGGGATGAATTACTATATGGGGGATGAATTACTATATGGGGGATGAATTACTATATGGGGGATGAATTACTATATGGGGGATGAATTACTATGGGGGATGAATTACTATGGGGGATGAATTACTATGGGGGATGAATTACTATGGGGGATGAATTACTATATGGGGGATGAATTACTATGGGGGATGAATTACTATATGGGGGATGAATTACTATAGGGGGGATGAATTACTATATGGGGGATGAATTACTATATGGGGATGAATTACTATAGGGGGGATGAATTACTATATGGGGGATGAATTACTATAGGGGGGATGAATTACTATAGGGGGGATGAATTACTATATGGGGGATGAATTACTATAGGGGGGATGAATTACTATATGGGGGATGAATTACTATATGGGGGATGAATTACTATATGGGGGATGAATTACTATATGGGGGATGTATTACTATGGGGGATGAATTACTATATGGGGGATGAATTACTATATGGGGGATGAATTACTATAGGGGGGCTGAATTACTATGGGGGATGAAATACTAATATGGGGGATGAATTACTATGGGGGATGAATTACTATGGGGGATGAATTACTATGGGGGGGATGAATTACTATAGGGGGGATGAATTACTATATGGGGGATGAATTACTATGGGGGGATGAATTACTATATGGGGGATGAATTACTATGGGGGATGAATTACTATGGGGGGGATGAATTACTATATGGGGGATGAATTACTATGGGGGATGAATTACTATATGAGGGATGAATTACTATAGGGGGGATGAATTACTATATGGGGGATGAATTACTATAGGGGGGATGAATTACTATAGGGGGGATGAATTACTATAAGGGGGATGAATTACTATGGGGGATGAATTACTATATGGGGGATGAATTACTATATGGGGGATGAATTACTATATGGGGGATGAATTACTATAGGGGGGATGAATTACTATAGGGGGGATGAATTACTATGGGGGATGAATTACTATATGGGGGATGAATTACTATAGGGGGATGAATTACTATGGGGGATGAATTACTATATGGGGGATGAATTACTATATGGGGGATGAATTACTATATGGGGGATGAATTACTATGGGGGATGAATTACTATGGGAGATGAATTACTATATGGGGGATGAATTACTATATGGGGGATGAATTACTATATGGGGGATGAATTACTATATGAGGGATGAATTAATATGGGGGATGAATTACTACGGGGGATGAATTACTATATGGGGAGGAATTACTATGGGGGATGAATTACTATATGGGGGAGGAATTACTATGGGGGATGAATTACTATATGGGGGATGAATTACTATGGGTGGATGAATTACATATATGGGGGATGAATTACTATATGGGGGATGAATTACTATATGGGGGATGAATTACTATATGGGGGAGGAATTACTATGGGGGATGAATTACTATATGGGGGATGAATTACTATGGGGGATGAATTACTATATGGGGGATGAATTACTATATGAGGGATGAATTACTATGGGGGATGAATTACTATATGGGGGATGAATTACTATATGAGGGATGAATTACTATGGGAGATGAATTACTATATGGGGGATGAATTACTATGGGGGATGAATTACTATGGGGGATGAATTACTATATGGGGGATGAATTACTATATGGGGGATGAATTACTATATGGGGGATGAATTACTATATGGGGGATGAATTACTATGGGGGATGAATTACTATATGGGGGATGAATTACTATGGGGGATGAATTACTATATGGGGGATGAATTACTATGGGGATGAATTACTATGGGGGGATGAATTACTATATGGGGGATGAATTACTATATGGGGGATGAATTACTATATGGGGGATGAATTACTATGGGGGATGAATTACTATGGGGGATGAATTACTATATGAGGGATGAATTACTATATGGGGGATGAATTACTATGGGGGGGATGAATTACTATATGGGGAAGGAATTACTATGGGGGGGATGAATTACTATGGGGGGGATGAATTACTATATGGGTGATGAATTACTATATGGGGGATGAATTACTATATGGGGGATGAATTACTATATGGGGGGGACTTACTATATGGGGGATGAATTACTATGGGGGATGAATTACTATATGGGGGATGAATTACTATAAAAAACTTATTGAAACTAAAAACAGTGTACCATCCTATGTATTTTCAGTTTTAAAAAATGTGGCTCTCAAAATAAATTTCAATCGTGGTTTTGGCGAGATTTGGCTCAGTTGAAAAAAAAAGGTTGCCCACCACTGTTATAGACGGTTTGAGATATTTAAGTGTAAATCCCTTTATTATCCCCTCTTTACCACCCTGTCGCGGCCGCACGCATGTGTCACGGTTAGCTAGTCGCTGTGGGCGTGGCGTGTGGGGGACACGTGACAGGGTGATCGTTAACGGATCCTTGACAAGGCCACGTGGGGATTATAATGAGATCACGTGGAGTTTATAATGAAATCACGTGGGGATTATAATGACCACGTGGGGATTATAATGAGATCACGTGGGGATTATAATGAGAAGGCCACATGGAGATTATCATGAAAAGGCAACGTAGGGATTATAATGAAGACCACATGGGGATTATCATAAGAAGGCCACATGGGATTATAATGAGATCACAGGATAATGATGAGAAGACCACGTGGAGATTATGAGAAGACCATGTGGGGCTTGTAATGAGAAGATCACGTGGGGCTTGTAATGAGAAGGCCACGTGGGGCTTGTAATGAGAAGGCCACGTGGGGCTTGTAATGAGAAGGCCACGTGGGGCTTGTAATGAGAAGACCACGTGGGGATTATCATGAGAAGGCCACATGGGGATTATTATGAGAAGACCACAGGGGAGATTATTATGAGAAGACCACGTGGGGATTATCATGAGAAGGCCACATGGGGATTATCATGAGAAGATCACGTGGGGATTATCATGAGAAGACCACGTGGGGATTATCATGAGAAGGCCACAGGGGAGATTATTATGAGAAGACCACAGGGGAGATTATAATGAGAAGGCCACGTGGGGATATGAATGTTCTTAGAGGGATTGTCCCCAGTTGGTCTGGAGGGAGGAGTCTTTATTTTTGCCCCGTCCCGGAGGTGCCCTGGCTAACCTTCTCATCCTCCCCATTCCAGGTCCGCTCCCCTCACCATGATTGAAGTGGTGGCCAAGCTGGTCCGTGGTCCAGTCTTCCTGGCCGGTGAGCCTCTGGAATGTATAGTGACCTTCACCAACCCATTGTCAGCCCTCTCCACCTCCGCCAGCAGGTAGGTGTCCTCTGTCCTCCCTGGTCTATGGGGGGAGGGGAGAACATGAATCGGTTTGGTAGATTTGTCCACTTAAAGGGGAGTTCCAGTTGAAAAATAAAAGTCATCAGCTACAAACCTGTAAATGGCGCCCCTTACCCATCCCCCGTCCTTCGGTGTCCTCACCACGGCTGGTCTCACCGGCATCTTCAGTGTGGTCACCCGGCTAGGACAACATGCGGCTTCACAGCCGGTGCCCACTGCACATACGTGTCATGTGTCCCAGAAGACTACGAGGGGGGAGGACAGTGGGATCGGGTACCTGCCAAATTCGGGTACCCCCCCCTCCCCCCCGCTCCCCAAAGGTGCCAATCCTTAATGGGGTGCGGGGGACAAAGGCTTAAAGCGGAACTTCCCCTTTTGGGTGGAAGGAGATAACCCCTGTCAGGTGTCCCCGTAGGGAGAGTTCACTTCCTGTCTGAGAACCAAAGCAGGAAGTGAGGGAATCCCCTGTCAGGTGTCCCCGTAGGGAGAGTTCACTTCCTGTCTGAGAACCAAAGCAGGAAGTGAGGGAATCCCCTGTCAGGTGTCCCCGTAGGGAGAGTTCACTTCCTGTCTGAGAACCAAAGCCGGAAGTGAGGGAATCCCCTGTCAGGTGTCCCCGTAGGGAGAGTTCACTTCCTGTCTGAGAACCAAAGCAGGAAGTGAGGGAATCCCCTGTCAGGTGTCCCCGTAGGGAGAGTTCACTTCCTGTTTGAGAACCAAAGCAGGAAGTGAGGGAATCCCCTGTCAGGTGTCCCTGTAGGGAGAGTTCACTTCCTGTCTGAGAACCAAAGCCGGAAGTGAGGGAATCCCCTGTCAGATGTCCCCGTAGGGAGATTTCACTTCACTTCCTGTCTGAGAACCAAAGCAGGAAGTGAGGGAATCCCCTCTCAGGTGTCCCTGTAGGGAGAGTTCACTTCCTGTTTGAGAACCAAAGCAGAAAGTGAGGGAATCCCCTGTCAGTTGTCCCCGTAGGGAGAGTTCACTTCCTGTCTGAGAACCAAAGCAGAAAGTGAGGGAATCCCCTGTCAGGTGTCCCCGTAGGGAGAGTTCACTTCCCGTCTGAGAACCAAAGCAGGAAGTGAGGGAATCCCCTGTCAGGTGTCCCCGTAGGGAGAGTTCACTTCCTGTCTGAGAACCAAAGCAGGAAGTGAAGTAATCCCCTGTCAGGTGTCCCCGTAGGGAGAGTTCACTTCCCGTCTGAGAACCAAAGCAGGAAGTGAGGGAATCCCCTGTCAGGTGTCCCCGTAGGGAGAGTTCACTTCCCGTCTGAGAACCAAAGCAGGAAGTGAGTGAATCCCCTGTCAGGTGTCCCTGTAGGGAGAGTTCACTTCCTGTCTGAGAACCAAAGCCCGGAAGTGAGGGAATCCCCTCTCAGGTGTCCCCGTAGGGAGAGTTCACTTCCTGTCTGAGAACCAAAGCAGAAAGTGAGGGAATCCCCTGTCAGGTGTCCCCGTAGGGAGAGTTCACTTCCCGTCTGAGAATCAAAGCAGGAAGTGAGGGAATCCCCTGTCAGGTGTCCCCGTAGGGAGAGTTCACTTCCTGTCTGAGAACCAAAGCAGGAAGTGAAGTAATCCCCTGTCAGGTGTCCCCGTAGGGAGAGTTCACTTCCCGTCTGAGAACCAAAGCAGGAAGTGAGGGAATCCCCTGTCAGGTGTCCCCGTAGGGAGAGTTCACTTCCCGTCTGAGAACCAAAGCAGGAAGTGAGTGAATCCCCTGTCAGATGTCCCCGTAGGGAGAGTTCACTTCCCGTCTGAGAACCAAAGCAGGAAGTGAGGGAATCCCCTGTCAGGTGTCCCCGTAGGGAGAGTTCACTTCCCGTCTGAGAACCAAAGCAGGAAGTGAGGGAATCCCCTGTCAGGTGTCCCCCGTAGGGAGAGTTCACTTCACTTCCTGTCTGAGAACCAAAGCAGGAAGTGAGGGAATCCCCTGTCAGGTGTCCCCGTAGGGAGAGTTCACTTCCTGTCTGAGAACCAAAGCAGGAAGTGAAGTAATCCCTGTCAGGTGTCCCCATAGGGAGAGTTCACTTCACTTCCTGTCTGAGAACTAAAGCAGGAAGTGGGTCAGAGGAGTCCCCTGATTGGCTGCCTTGCACCGCTGCACCAGATTCTGAGTGTTCCGGTCTTCGTAAATCTCTCCCAGAGAGAAGGTGAATCTCCCCAACAGGGACAAAGACGTGATCGGGGATCTGATCCTCTCAGAGGAGCCCCCTGTTACATAGAGACAGATGATAGTGCTGGGCCGCTCCGCCACGAGGAACAACAAATCCTGAACCCATACGTCATGTATAGTAGCCACATGCTGCAGCTGGGGTCAGAGGAGCCCCCTGTTACATAGAGACAGATGATAGTGCTGGGCTTTCTTGTTGTGTGGGTCAGAGGAGCCCCCTGTTACAGAGACAGATGATAGTGCTGGGTGGGTTTCTTGTTGCTGTTTGGGTCAGAGGAGCCCCTGTTACATAGAGACACATGATAGTGCTGGGCTTTCTTGTAGTGTGGGTCAGAGGAGCCCCTGTTACATAGAGACAGATGATAGTGCTGGGCTTTCCTTGTTGTGTGGGTCAGAGGGAGCCCCCTGTTACATAGAGACAGATGATAGTGCTGGGCTTTCTTGTTGTGTGGGTCAGAGGAGCCCCCTGTTACATATGATAGAGACAGATGATAGTGCTGTGCTTTCTTGTTGTGTGGGTCAGAGATGATAGTAGCCCCCTGTTACATAGAGACAGATGATATAGTGCTGGGCTTTCTTGTAGTGTGGGTCAGAGGAGCCCCCTGTTACATAGAGGCTTTCTTGTAGTGTGGGTCAGAGGAGGCACATGATAGTGCTGGGCTTTCTTGTTGTGTGTCAGAGGAGACCCCCTGTTTACATTAGAGACAGATCAGAGGGTCAGCCCCCCTGTTACATAGAGACAGATGATAGTGCTGGGCTTCTCTTGTTGTGTGTGGGTCAGTGTGGAGGAGCCCCCTGTTACATAGAGACAGATGATAGTGCTGGGCTTTCTTGTTGTGTGGGTCAGAGGAGCCCCCTGTTACATAGAGACAGATGATAGTGCTGGGCTTTCTTGTTGTGTGGGTCAGAGGAGCCCCCTGTTACATAGAGACAGATGATAGTGCTGGGCTTTTTCTTGTTGTGTGTGCTGGGTCAGAGGAGCCCCCTGTTACATAGAGACAGATGATAGTGCTGGGCTTTCTTGTTGTTTGGGTCAGGGCTTTCTTGTGTTGTGTGTGGGTCAGAGGAGCCCCCTGTTACATAGAGACAGATGATAGTGCTGGGCTTTCTTGTTGTGTGGGTCAGAGGAGCCCCCTGTTACATAGAGACAGATGATAGTGCTGGGCTTTCTTGTTGTGTGGGTCAGAGGAGCCCCCTGTTACATAGAGACAGATGAAGTGCTGGGCTTTCTTGTTGTGTGGGTCAGAGGAGCCCCCTGTTACATAGAGACAGATGATAGTGCTGGGCTTTCTTGTTGTGTGGGTCAGAGGAGCCCCCTGTTACATAGAGACAGATGATAGTGCTGGGCTTTCTTGTTGTGTGGGTCAGAGGAGCCCCCTGTTACATAGAGACAGATGATGATAGTGCTGGGCTTTCTTGTTGTGTGTGGTCAGAGGAGCCCCCTGTTACATAGAGACAGATGATAGTGCTGGGCTTTCTTGTTGTGTGGGTCAGAGGAGCCCCCTGTTACATAGAGACAGATGATAGTGCTGGGCTTTCTTGTTGTGTGGGTCAGAGGAGCCCCTGTTACATAGAGACAGATGATAGTGCTGGGCTTTCTTGTTGTGTTGGGGTTCAGAGGAGCCCCCTGTTACATAGAGACAGATGATAGTGCTGGGCTTTCTTGTTGTGTGTGGGTCAGAGGAGCCCCCTGTTACATAGAGACAGATGATAGTGCTGGGCTTGTTTAGTGATGTGGGTTGTGTGGGTCAGAGGAGCCCCCTGTTACATAGGGACAGATCAGAGGGGCTTTCTTGTTGTGTGGGTCAGAGGAGCCCCCTGTTACATAGAGACAGATGATAGTGCTGGGCTTTCTTGTTGTGTGGGTCAGAGGAGCCCCCTGTTACATAGAGACAGATGATAGTGCTGGGCTTTCTTGTTTGTGTGGGTCAGAGGAGCCCCCTGTTACATAGATAGACAGATGATAGTGCTGGGCTTTCTTGTTGTGTGGGTCAGAGGAGCCCCCTGTTACATAGAGACAGATGATAGTGCTGGGCTTTCTTGTTGTGTGGGTCAGAGGAGCCCCCTGTTACATAGAGACAGATGATAGTGCTGGGCTTTCTTGTTGTGTGGGTCAGAGGAGCCCCCTGTTACATAGAGACAGATGATAGTGCTGGGCTTTCTTGTTGTGTGGGTCAGAGGAGCCCCCTGTTACATAGAGACAGATGATAGTGCTGGGGCTTTCTTGTTGTGTGGGTCAGAGGAGCCCCCTGTTACATAGAGACAGATGATAGTGCTGGGCTTTCTTGTTGTGTGGGTCAGAGGAGCCCCTGTTACATAGAGACAGATGATAGTGCTGGGCTTTCTTGTTGTGTGGGTCAGAGGAGCCCCTGTTACATAGAGACAGATGATAGTGCTGGGCTTTCTTGTTGTGTGGGTCAGAGGAGCCCCCTGTTACATAGAGACAGATGATAGTGCTGGGCTTTCTTGTTGTGTGGGTCAGAGGAGCCCCCTTTTCCCCATAGTTATCCACAGGGATGATATGCTGGGCTTTCTTGTTGTGTTGTGTGATTCAGGAGAGTCCCTTGCCCCTCCCTAAGGCTACTCTCAAATAGAGACAGCTACTTGCAAAAATGGTCATGTGTTTTTCTTCCACTTTTTTCAATGAAAAATGGAAGCAAGACGGATCAGTGTGAAAGCAGCCTTAGTTACACACAAGCAGATGGTAGTGCTGGGCTTTCTTGTTGTGTGATTCAGGAGAAGACCCTGTGCCCTCTGTTAGTCAGTTACACAAGCAGATGGTAGGGCTGGGCTGGTCTTGTTTCTTGTTGTGTGATTCAGGGGAGCCCCCCCCCCTTGTGTTGTGTGATTCAGGGGAGCCCCCCCCCCCCGTTAGTTACACAGAGGCAGATGATAGTGCTGGGCTTTGTTGTTGTGTGATTCAGGGGAGCCCCCCCCCCCACCCCCGCCCCGTTAGTTACACAGAGGCAGATGATAGTGCTGGGCTTTGTTGTTGTGTGATCCATGGAAGACCTTCTGCCCCCTGTCAGTCAGTTACACAAACAGATGGTAGTGCTGGGCTTTCTTATGTGATTAAGGGGAGGTTGGTTTTTTTTGTTGTGTGATCCATGGAATATTTCCATAATGGGAGCACAGATGGCAATGAAAACCTGACAGACCTGGGCCAGGCTCAGATCTATGACCGCTGTTCTGATTGTATGTTGCAGTGAGACTCTCGCCTGGGCCAGCGCTCAGATCCATTGTCAGTTCCATGCCAGTGACAGCCGGGTTCAGCTTCCAGCCAGCGAGGAGCCCAGACAGGACGTCCAGGCGGAGAATGAGACGGTCTTCATCCCTAACAGAGGTAAGTCTGGCCCCGGGGCCCCCTGGTGTCTTTGTGCCTACGTTCTATCACCCTTGTTTTCATCTTTCAGGTGAACGGGGTCAGTGTATCCTCTCCACTCCACCCAAGATCCTCTTCTGTGACCTGCGCCTGGACCCCGGGGAGACCAAGTCCTGTAGGTGGTCTGTACACAGGAGACAATCTCCATCATTGTTGTATCTTCTCCAGCAGACGATGATATGTTTTCTCTTTCAGATTCCTATAGTGAGACATTACCGCTTTCCGCACCCCCGTCCTTCCGAGGTCAGTCCGTGAAATACGTCTACAAGCTGACCATTGGCTGCCAGAGAGTCAACTGCCCAATACAACTTCTACGAGTCCCATTCCGGGTCCTCTTATTGTACGGTGAGAGGTCAGAGGTCACAGTGACTGTTCTGGTTCAAATGCCTTTCTATGCACTGATATACTTAAACCCAGTCTGTACGGACAGCATGGTCACCTGCTGACTCGGCACCGTCCACAGGCAGCTTCACTCCTCAGTGAGACGCAACAACTAAATCCAACCCAAATTTACGTAAAGTGGTTGTAAAGGCTCCAGGATTTTTACCTTCATGCATTCTATGCAGCAGTCCTCCCAGCTTCCCCATTACTTACCTGAGTCCCATCCAGATCCAGTGATGTGTACAGAACAGGTGCGGACTGACCATTTGGAAATTCGGACACTGCCCGAGGGCCCGGGGTCAGTAGGGGGCCCCATGAGATGCCCCTGGTACCTTTTTCGAAGACTTTTTTGAGTTTGGGCAAGAACACAGGGGCCCCATGATCCCCTATTGTCCGGGGGCCCCATGAGTTGTCAGTCCGCCTTGGTAGAAAAGCCTCTGCTGTCCCAGGTCTCTATCTCCTCATTGGCTGAGACAGCAGTGGAAGCCATTGGCTCCCACTGCTATCACAGCCAGTGAGCCAATGAGGAGAGAGATGGGCAGGGTCAAGCCGCTGCTCTGTGTGTGTGAATGGATACACAAAGCAGCAGCACAGGACTGTGCCTGCTCAGGTGCCCCCATAGCAAGCTGCCTACTATAGGGGGCACCCGACAGGAGGGAGGGGCTAGGGACCTGAGAAGTGATGGATCTGGGCTGCTCTGTGCAAAACCACTACACGCAGCAGGTAAGTGTAGACATGTTTTGTTATTATTTTTTTTTCTTCAAAACCAAGTCTTTAGTATCACTTTAAGACATTTGCAGTACAGAGGATGTGTTTTCAGTCTTTCGAAGTGTAAGAAGACAACAGCTTTCCTATGCCCTGTCTTTGAGAAATACTAACACTGACAGAGGAAACTTGGAAGATGTGGGAATGGTGTAGCTAGGACTAAATTCACTAAACAGGAGGGGTGGACAAAGGAGAAACCAACATCACATTAGTAAACAAGTTGCAATGGCCAGAAACCACCTCGAGATGGCAGCATTCTACAGAACAATAACAGCATACAGTTAGATGCAACATAGGAAAATGACATGAACTGTATGGTGAGGTCAGAGGTCACCTGTGATTTTAGCTGTTTGTCTACATATCTGCGTTTCAGACCTCCCATGCCCCGCCCCGCCCCCGCCCCGCCATGCCCCGCCCGGCTCCACCTTCATTGACCCACGAGTTGAGTACACAGTTTAGGAAAGTCAGAGGGAAGTTGTAAAGCCCCTCCGAGTCCGGGAAATCCAGGCAGTTGGAGTTTATTGGCGGGCTCCATGTTTCCTATCGTGACCTTTAACCCCCGGTCAGAGCTGTCTGTGTTCAGGACAATGATGGGGGTTGTGATTGGTCTTGTTTCCAGCCCTCCAGGGTTTCCAGCCTTCACAGGAGGACGAGGTGGCCCCTTCCAATCCCTTCCTGGAGGAAGATGAAATGTCGAAGAAGGACTCGCGCCTCCTGGACTCCGCTGTGGAGATTCTCATGGCTGTGACATCACGGAGGACATTACGTAAGTGACTGATGATGTCATCCCCATCCTTCCCCAGGACCTGTCTGTGGAACCCGGTGATGTCAGCGCCGTGCTGATTTCTGCCATCACAGGTCCAGTCATGGCGCCGTTACGGCACACTGCTAGAGGCTTTCCTTGTCCTAAGATCCAACATCTGACGTGTGAGCGGGGGAGATCACGTACTACATTGTTACGTCTGCCAGATTGGGGGACGTACAAAATACACACCCACCCAGTACAGGGGGGGGGCATGGCGTAGAGGGGGGGGGGGACATGGTGTGTAGGGAAGTAGTAGAGGAGGGGACATGGTGTGTAGGGAATAGTAGAGGGAGGGACATGGAGTGTAGGGAATAGTAGAGGGAGGGGGACATGGAGTGTAGGGAATAGTAGAGGGAGGGGGGACATGGAGTGTAGGGAATAGTAGAGGGGGGGGGGACATGGCGTGTAGGGAATAGTAGGGGGGGGGGGGAGACATGGAGTGTAGGGAATATAGTAGGGGGGGGGACATGGAGTGTAGGGAATAGTAGAGGGGGGGGACATGGTGTGTAGGGGGGTGGTAATAGTAGAGGGGGGGGGGACATGGCGTGTAGGGAATAGTAGAGGGGGGGGGGACATGGAGTGTAGGGAATAGTAGAGGGGGGGGGGACATGGTGTGTAGGGAATAGTAGAGGGGGGAGGGGACATGGAGTGTAGGGAATAGTAGAGGGGGGGGGGACATGGCATGGAGGGAATAGTAGAGAGGGGGGGGGGACATGGTGTGTAGGGAATAGTAGAGGGGGGGGGACATGGCATGTGTAGGGAATAGTAGAGGGGGGGGACATGGCAGTGTAGGGAATAGTAGAGGGGGAGGGGACATGGCGTGTAGGGAATAATAGAGGGGGGAGAGGGACATGGAGTGTAGAGAAATAGTAGAGGGGGGGGGGACATGGCGTGTAGGGAATAGTAGAGGGGGAGGGGACATGTAGTGTAGGGAATAGTAGAGGGGGAGGGGACATGGCGTGTAGGGAATAGTAGAGGGGGAGGGGGACATGGCGTGTAGGGAATAGTAGAGGGGGGAGGGGACATGGCGTGTAGGGAATAGTAGAGGGGGGAGGGGACATGGAGTGTAGGGAATAGTAGAGGGGGAGGGGACATGGCGTGTAGGGAATAGTAGAGGGGGGAGGGGACATGGCGTGTAGGGAATAGTAGAGGGGGAGGGGGGGACATGGTGTGTAGGGAATAGTAGAGGGGGGGGGGGGGACATGGTGTGTAGGGAATAGTAGAGGGGGAGGGGACATGGTGTGTAGGGAATAGTAGAGGGGGGAGGGGACATGGTGTGTAGGGAATAGTAGAGGGGGGAGGGGACATGGTGTGTAGGGAATAGTAGAGGGGGGAGGGGACATGGTGTGTAGGGAATAGTAGAGGGGGGAGGGGACATGGCGTGTAGGGAATAGTAGAGGGGGGAGGGGACTGGTGTGTGTAGGGAATAGTAGAGGGGGGAGGGGACATGGTGTGTAGGGAATAGTAGAGGGGGGAGGGGACATGGCGTGTAGGGAATAGTAGAGGGGGGAGGGGACATGGTGTATGTTGCAAGCTTAGTGGGGACTCATGTAGTAGATGTCCTTCATCATATCTTCTCCCATCCAGGGGAGGGTCTGGTCATGGTGTCAGGGGGTCCTATACAGAGGGTCCTGTGCAGAGGGTCCTATACAGGGGGGTCCTATGCAGGGGGTCCTATGCAGAGGGTCCTATGCAGAGGGTCCTATGCAGAGGGTCCTATGCAGAGGGTCCTACAGAGGGTCCTATACAGGGGGTCCTATACAGGGGGTCCTATACAGGGGGTCCTATACAGAGGGTGCTGTGCAGAGGGTCCTATGCAGAGGGTCCTATACAGGGGGTCCTATACAGAGGGTGCTGTGCAGAGGGTCCTATACAGGGGGTCCTATGCAGAGGGTCCTATACAGGGGGTCCTATACAGAGGGTCCTATGCAGAGGGTCCTATACAGAGGGTCCTATACAGGGGGTCCTATACAGAGGGTCCTATACAGGGGGTCCTATACAGAGGGTCCTATAACAGGGGGTCCTATACAGAGGGTCCTGTGCAGAGGGTCCTATACAGAGGGTCCTATACAGGGGGTCCTATGCAGAGGTCCTATGCAGAGGGTCCTATACAGGGGGTCCTATACAGGGGGTCCTATGCAGAGGGTCCTATACAGAGGGTCCTATGCAGAGGGTCCTATACAGAGGGTCCTATACAGGGGGTCCTATGCAGAGGGTCTATACAGAGGGTCCTATACAGGGGGGTCCTATGCAGAGGGTCCTATACAGGGGTCCTATACAGAGGGTCCTGTGGTGATCCTACCCCTGTACTTCCTCCTACAGATCAGTATAACATCAGTAACACACGAGGCCGAGTCGGGACCTTCTGTATCTTTAAGACGGTTTATAAGATCGGAGAAGATGTCATCGGAACCTTCAACTTTTCTGACGGTGAAATCCCCTGTTTACAGGTCAGTGATGTCCTACTGGCTGCTGGTTTTAGTTAGCAGGTGCCTCAGCTGCATGACCGGTTGCTATGCGGGTGCCGGACTGGTTGCTATGCGGTGCCGGACCGGTTGCTATGCGGTTGCCTATTGGAAGCCGGTTGCTATGCGGTGACCGACTGGTTGGCCTTACTATCTCTCCCAGGACTTCCAGAGGAAGGATCAGAAGCCTAAGTCTGTACCTGACTTTCCCCAATCCAGGGGACTCTTGTGTCAACAGATGCCCAAAGGTTCCCTTCCTTGGACCCTACAGCCCAGGATCCATACGCTTGCATGCAAAATCTTAATGGGTGTAGATTCATTCCGCCCCTTCAATGTCTGTTGGAACCTTGCAGAGATTTGAAGTTTTGTGTCCTGGATCCATGGTTGCAGGAGGTGGTTTCTTCTTGTATCTCCACAACGTCTGGCTGTTCTCCATCAAGCAGTTTTGGGCATCATTGCATTGATACCTCCTTTGGATACATTTCAGGTGTTTAATTTCAACCATTTCATGGTTTTCAGACCCTGTGGGGTGCTGAGGCTGTCAAAGACCTAAAAGCCCTAAGTGCCCTTGCACCCCCTTACACAGAAGGTCTGGACAAGGATGCCTTTCGGCTTGGAATGGGCTTACGCTGATGCAAATGAATCAGAGATGACTGGGGGAAAATGGGTTTGTGATGATAAATCTCCCAAATATCCATGGAGGCTAGGAGGTCTCCTTGATGGAGAGAGATCATGACCTACTAAGTGGATTCCATCTGTTCCATCCACTCGGTTGGTGTAGGCATGTTGATCAAGGTCAGGATGGAATCCACTTGTAGAGCATACTCTCTTTTCATCGAGTAGACTTCCTAGCCTCCATGGATATTTGGGATATTTGTCACGTCCCCATTTTCCCAATCGTGAAGCTCAGAGGCATCCTCGTCGTTGGGTATCTAGATCAGCGTTTTTCAACCACTGTGCCGCGGCACACTAGTGTGCCGTGAGATATTGTCTGGTGTGCCGTGGGAAAAATTCCAATTTCATCTGTAACATGTGGCTTCGGCTCACAAATAGACCAATCATTAGAATCTAATGATTCAGTGGTCGGCAAGCCGCGGCTCGCGAGCCACATGCGGCTCTTTACCCAGTCTAATGCGGCTCTTCTGTGTGCCGGCGCGCTGCTCCCTCCCTCCTCTCGGTCGGCCGCTCCCCTGCCTCCTCTCGGTTGGCAGCCCCAAAAGTCCGCGCGGACCTTTTAATCCGGCTTGCGGATGTGGCTGTCAGGATGTGTGTAGGCGGAGGCAGCGTGCCGAACGTGAGGGGAGGGGAGCTAGGCTCCTCTCACAGTCCGCCCTGAAGACCCGAACGGCGCGGGAAGACAGCGAGAGGAACGCAAAAGGTAAGTGAATTGACACGGGGGGACTTGGCTTACTAGAAGGGGGGGGGGGAAATAGTACTGTGGGGGATGAAATACTATATGAGGGATGAATTACTTTATGAGGGATGAAAATACTATATGGGGGGATGAAATACTATATGGGGGATGAATTACTATATCAGGGGACATGAATTACTATATGAGGGATGAAATACTATATGGGGGATGAAATACTATATGGGGGGATGAAATACTATATGGGGGGATGAATTACTATATGAGGGATGAAATACTATATGGGGGGATGAAATACTATATGAGGGATGAAATACTATATGGGGGTTGATGAATTACTATATGAGGGATGAATTACTGTATGAGGGATGAAATACTATATGGGGGGATGAAATACTATATGAGGGATGAAATACTATATGAGGGGGATGAAATACTATATGGGGGGATGAAATACTATATGGGGGATGAAATATTCTATATTGAGGGATGAAATACTATATGAGGGATGAATTACTATATGAGGGATGAAATACTATATGGGGGGTATGAAATACTATATGGGGGGATGAAATACTATATGGGGGGATGAAATACTATATGAGGGATGAATTACTATGGGGGATGAATTACTATATGGAGGATGAATTACTATATGGGGGATGAATTACTATATGGGGGATGAATTACTATGGGGGATGAATTACTATGGGGGATGAATTACACTATGGGGGATGAAATTACTATATGGGGGATGAATTACTATGGGGGATGAATTACTATATGGGGGATGAATTTACTATATGGGGGATTAATTACTATGGGGGATGAATTACTATATGGGGGATTAATTACTATGGGGGATGAATTACTATGGGGGGATGAATTACTATATGGGGGGATTAATTACTATGGGGGATGAATTACTATGGGGGATGAATTACTATATGTCTAGATGACCTATGAAAACAGCCATTGTTGGACCTGGACACCAATGTGATCACAACACTGCAGACACTGGAGGAGTTTGGTTGTGAACGTTCTCCCAAGTTCATATGCATCACTTGACATATTTAGGATTAGTCCTGGTCACTGTTCAGGCCAGTGTTTTTCTGCATTAAGAAAACTTTCAAACCCCAGCCTCTGGCTTTGCAGCTCTGTTCCCAAACCCGACCCCCTCTCAGGAGATGTTCTTGGGGCTTATGGTCTGCTCATCCAGTTCCTTTAGCCTAGTTCCTCACAGATTCCTGCAAATGAACCCTTTAGGTCTGGAACACATTACTCCTGTCTGTAGACAAAGAGATTGCTTACGTCCTCAGACCAGGACTCTGGTGGCTTTTCTACCCCACGTTGATGGCGGGCAGATACTTCCTTTCTTTGAGATGGAAGTGTGACAGACCCAACCAGGACAGGGGCTTTTTGAGGGGACTAGGGGCTAGCTTCTGCCCACTAATTAAGGCCCGTGGAGAGAGCAGACCATTCTGTAATGATGGACAACAACGTGGTGAGGCTTGGATGAGTTCTCTGCATACAGACAATACGTCTTCCTTGCTGGAGTGGATGGAAAGATGGAATAATCTTGTACAGGTTACCGGTCAGAGGCAATATGGGGCCCTCATGCCCACTGGGTTGGAGAAGCTCCTCTATTTGGACGGAAATTTATCAACAATCCCCGTCAAGTAATCCATGAAGATAAATCAATTCCACTGTTCCATCTGTTGGAATATTGGATGAGTTTTGTCTCATGGTGGACAGATTATACAAGTGATAGTTAGCGTGTGTCATGGACTTTGTGTCTTCAGGGGTGGGTTTGTTGCTGGGTTGTCTGGGGTGGGCTCCCTGGCTAATCAAAGCTTTGTCTCAGTGCCTGGCTGCTGCTTAGCTTACTGTTCATTTAGATGTCCGTTGGCTGCACTGTTGTGATCAAGCTCTTACCTAATCAGTGTGGGATGTTTATCTCAATGTGCAATATTTGTTTTATTGTTCATGTGGGGACTGCCCCTATTTCTGAGTGTATAAAAATCTGTGTTTTCTGTCCAATAAAGAGTCCCTGTTTGACATCTAAGCTAGTCTCGTCTAGTCTTGGGTGCAATGCCCGGCTATAATACCTTGGTCCTGTGTCCCAGGTGGAGGATGTCTGAATACTTCCTTCCTGATGGAGGAGTCTGAATACTTCCTTCTGGCCAGCTGACTCCTGCCCATACCATCCCCCACCAGGGAAGCTCACTTCCACCCATCACCTCACTATGCATTCCAGCCACACCAACCACATGGGACAGACACTTCTGTGCCCCCTTTTCTTCAACATGGTGCTAATATCGCTTATACCAGCCTTCTCAACCTTTCCATGCTTGAGGAACCGCCCTGCCCCCTCTCTTTCCTCAAAGCTCAGCTCTCATTGCCCCCCATTGTGGACTGTACAACTGTGCACCTTAGGGGGCTAAGACTGCCATTCATTGCAGTACCTCCAGGTCTGCATAGATGTGCAGCTTAATGAGATCCATCCTTTGCTTAGGCTGTGCCAGAGTTGGGTAGATAGGAATCTACTACAGTGGTGGGGGTGGTGGAACACCCCGAGGACTTCTTGCAGAACCCTGGTATATCCTGTGGAAATAGACATGTGCAGACCAGAATCATTGCCTGTCCCCGTTGTCCTGTGTGTGAGCTGACTGTGAGTTCTCTATGCACAGTATTCAGTGTCTCTGCAAACTGAGGAGAGCGTACAGGAGGAGTACAGACGTTCCCGCGGACAACCTGTATCCATCAGCACCCACGCTCAGCACCATGAATCCTGCCTGCATACCGCCAGCAGCAATTTCGGCCTCCCTGTCCCATTGAGCTCCTGCCCGGGCTTCAGTACCAACATCGGTGAGTGATGAGTGTCTGGAGGTGTGGTGAGGAGATGTCTGGGATATGATGGGGAATACACTGATGGATATGGAGGACATACCGGTTGGGTTTATCCTTCCTCATGGGTTTTACATGCAATGTGTGGTGAGGAGATGTCTGGGATATGATGGGGAATACACTGATGGCTATGGAGGACATACCGGTTGGGTTTAACCTTCCTCATGGGCTGTGTATGAAATGTGTGGTGGTGAGACATCTGAGATATGATGGGGAATACACTGATGGCTATGGAGACAGACCAGTTGGGTTTATCCTCCATCATGGGCTGTGTATGAAATGTGTGGTGGTGAGACATCTGGGATATGATGGGGAATACACTGATGGATATGGAGGACATACCAGTTGGGTTTAACCTTCCTCATGGGCTGTGTATGAAATGTGTGGTGGTGAGACATCTGGGATATGATGGGGAATACACTGATGGCTATGGAGACAGACCAGTTGGGTTTACCCTCCATCATGGCTGTGTATTATGTGGTATGGGTGGGGGAGGGGGGTCAGGACTATGCCATTATGGTCACCTCTCTTTTCTTCTCTCCATCTTGCAGTATCACTGAAGTGGCGCCTGCACTTTGAATTTGTCACTGCCCGGGAACCGGTGGAAGCGCCTACCGTACCAGAGAACCAATCAGAGATCATCACATGGACAGGAGCTGAACACATTGACGTGGACACATTCAGCTGGGACCTGCCCATCAAAGTTTTACCCACCAACCCTTTACTGGCCTCTTACGTGTCTCCGGCCTACTCATCCCAGTCCATCTGTATCTAGCAGTGGGACCATGCTGGGATTGGTGGGAGCTAAGTGGGGGGGGAGATAAGTGGGTACTCCTTTCTGTTGCCCTAAAGGAGGGGCAGATTCCTTGTATACTGATCCCCTTCTCTCTGCCTTTCTGCAGTGGGAGGAGCATTCTCAATTATTTTTCCTATTTCTTTTTATAGCCTCTCCTTCCAGTGGGAGGGGCACACTCTATAGCTCTTTCCTCTGTGGGTTTTCCTGCAGTGGGAGGGGCACACTCTATAGCTCCTTCCTCTATGGGTTGTCCTGCAGTTGGAGGGGCACACTCTATAGCTCCTTTCTCTGTGGGTTGTCCTGCAGTGGGAGGGGCACACTATAGCTCCTTCCTCTGGGTTGTCCTGCAGTGGGAGGGGCACACTCTAGCTCCTTCCTCTGTGGGTTGTCCTGCAGTGGGAGGGGCACACTCTAGCTCCTTCCTCTGTGGGTTGTCCTGCAGTGGGAGGGGCACACTCTAGCTCCTTCCTCTGTGGGTTGTCCTGCAGTGGGAGGGGCACACCTCTATAGTCCTGCAGTGGGAGGGGCACACTCTATAGCTCCTTTCTCTGTGGGTTGTCCTGCAGTGGGAGGGGCACACTCTATAGTTCCTTTCTCTGGGGTTGTCCTGCACACACACTCTATAGCTCCTTTCTCTGTGGGTTGTCCTGCAGTGGGAGGGGCACACTCTATAGTGGTGGGTTGTCCTACAGTGAGAGGGTACATTCTATAGCTCCCTCTTCTGGGTTGTCCTGCAGTGGGAGGGGCACACCTCTATAGCTTCTTTCTCTGGGTTTCCCAACAGTCACTTGAACACATTCTATAGCTCCCTCCGCTTGGTTGTCCTGCAGTGAGATGGACACTCCATAGCTCCTCCTCTTGGTTGTCCTGTAGTGGGAGGGGTACACTCTATAGCTTCTTCCTCTGTGGGTTGTCCTGCAGTGGGAGGGGCACACACTCTATAGCTCCTTTCTCTGTGGGTTGTCCTGCAGTGGGAGGGGCATACCTCTATAGCTCCTTTCTCTGTGGGTTGCCCTGCAGTGGGAGGGGCACACTCTATAGCTCCTTTCTCTGTGGGTTGTCCTGCAGTGGGAGGGGCACACTCTATAGCTCCTTCCTCTGTGGGTTGTCCTGCAGTGGGAGGGGCACACTCTATAGCTCCTTTCTCTGTGGGTTGTCCTACAGTGAGAGGGGTACATTCTATAGCTCCCTCTTCTGGGTTGTCTGCAGTGGGAGGGGCACACCTCTATAGCTTCTTTCTCTGTGGGTTGTCCTGCAGTGGGAGGGGCACACCTCTATAGCTTCTTTCTCTGGGTTTCCCAACAGTCACTTGAACACATTCTATAGCTCCCTCCGCTTGGTTGTCCTGCAGTGAGATGGACACTCCATAGCTCCTCCTCTTGGTTGTCCTGTAGTGGGAGGGGTACACTCTATAGCTTCTTCCTCTGGGGTTGTCCTACAGTGCAAGGGGGGATGCTATAGCTCCTCCTCTTGGTTGTCCTGCAGTGGGAGGGGAACACTATAGCTCCTCCTCTTGGTTGTCCTGCAGTGGGAGGGGAACACTATAGCTCCTCCTCTTGGTTGTCCTGCAGTGGGAGGGGAACACTATAGCTCCTCCTCTTGGTTGTCCTGCAGTGGGAGGGGAACACTATAGCTCCTCCTCTTGGTTGTCCTTCAGTGGAAGGGGAACACTCTAGCTCCCTGTTCTGGGTTGTCCTGCAGTGGGAGGGGAACACTATAGCTCTTCCTCTGGCTTGTCCTGCAGTGGGAGGGGTATACTTTATAGCTCCTCCTCTGGGTTATCCTGCAGTGGAATTGAAACACTCTATAGCTCCTCTTCTAACTTTTCCTCCATTTTGAGGGGGGGGGCGCTCTCTAGTTTTTATCTCTAAATTCTGCACTGGGAGGGGAACACTCTATAGCTCCTCCTCTGGGTTGTCCAGCTGTGAGAGGTCTACTCTTGTATAGTACGTGGGGACAGACTGTCTGTCCCATTGGGTGGAGTAAGGTGTGTTTGGCCCCCACAGTTTGCACTCCTGTGCAGTATGGGGGGAAGACTGGCCCAGTGGGGTGGAGTAAGGTGTGTTTGGCCCCCACAGTTTGCACTCCTGTGTAGTGTGGGGGGCAGACTGTTTGGCCCAGTGGGGTGGAGTAAGGTGTGTTTGGCCTCCTGTATAGTATGGGGGCAGGCTGTCTGGCCTAGTGGGGTGGAGTAAGGTGTGTTTGGCCCCCACAGTTTGCACTCCTATGTAGTGTGGGGGGCAGACTATCTGGCCCAGTGGGGTGGAGTAAGGTGTGTTTGGCCCCCACAGTTTGCACTCCTGTGTAGTGTGGGGGGCAGACAGTCTGGCCCAGTGGGGTGGAGTAAGGTGTGTTTGGCCCCCACAGTTTGCACTCCTGTGTAGTGTGGGGGAGCAGACTGTCTGGCCCAGTGGGGTGGAGTAAGGTGTGTTTGGCCTCCTGTATAGTATGGGGGGCAGACTGTCTGGCCCAGTGGGGTGGAGTAAGGTGTGTTTTGCCCCCACAGTTTGCACTCCTGTGTAGTGTGGGGGGGCAGACTGTCTGGCCCAGTGGGGTGGAGTAAGGTGTGTTTGGCCTCCTGTATAGTATGGGGGGCAGACTGTCTGGCCCAGTGGGTAGAGTAAGGTGTGTTTGGCCCCCACAGTTTGCACTCCTGTGTAGTGTGGGGGGCAGACTGTCTGGCCCAGTGGGGTGGAGTAAGGTGTGTTTGGCCCCCACAGTTTGCACGCGGTGTGGAATCTATGAATTGGTGGAGTAGTCCGCCATTTTGTTATAGATCAGTGTAGACACGGAGGTGGAGCAGAGTGGTTTATTGGGTGCTAAGTGGTCATACACAGTTTACAACATAAACACATTATCGTAGTCCTGGGGGGATGCCAGGGTCTGGCGGGCACATAGCTGGCCGCGTGGCCCTTTATGTGGATAGAAGCTGCAGGGAGCCAGCCACATTGTAATGGATATACAGGGCTCCCCAGGAACCGGATTGAGGAAGCTGGTAGAGCGCTCACAGTGGTCTGGTAGACATGGAAAGACAGAGCTCACGGATTGCAGTCTATCTGCCGAGTTGGGTGGGGTAGATGGACTCTGGAGTGGGTTCCGGGGTCCCGGCTGAGCCCCATTCGTAGTCTGCGCTGTGCACACATGGAAGGCTAGGATTGGCCTTCTGAACGACAGAGATGTGACAGGTCTGAGGGTCATAGCGAGCTTCACACCACGATGGGAAGTCGATGGGGTGCTGTGTTCTGTAGAGGAATACAGAATAGATGGTTAGCTCTGCAGCCCACTGTCCCTCTCCTGTACATTGTACTTATAAAAGGGAACCAAGGCCCTAAGTCATGACACTGCAATGGTACTCAAGGCATGCTAGAATGACCTCTAATTGACTAACACTGACTGATGATGTCAATTATGGGGTATTCATATCATTGGAAGTATATCCCCCAAAACCTGCAATACCCGAGGGGCCACTTTAGGATGCCTTGAGTTCTATTTCAGCTTCATGAATCTGGGGACTGGAAGATGAAATGTATTTATCTGTTTTGTTTATAAGATCAAATAAAATTCACTTTTTATTATTTAAAGTTTATATCTCCATTGTGAGTGTGAAATGGTTAGATGGTGTCGTATCTGTGGTCAGGTGATCGGGGCTGTACTGCCTGTGTGTGGTCAGGTGATCGGGGCTGTACTGCCTGTGTGTGGTCAGGTGATCGGGGCTGTACTGCCTGTGTGTGGTCAGGTGATCGGGGCTGTACTGCCTGTGTGTGGTCAGGTGATCGGGGCTGTACTGCCTGTGTGTGGTCAGGTGATCGGGGCTGTACTGCCTGTGTGTGGTCAGGTGATCGGGGCTGTACTGCCTGTGCGTGGTCAGGTGATCGGGGCTGTACTGCCTGTGCGTGGTCAGGTGATCGGGGCTGTACTGCCTGTGCGTGGTCAGGTGATCGGGGCTGTACTGCCTGTGCGTGGTCAGGTGATCGGGGCTGTACTGCCTGGTCAGGTGATCGGGGCTGTACTGCCTGTGTGTGGTCAGGTGATCGGGGCTGTACTGCCTGTGTGTGGTCAGGTGATCGGGGCTGTACTGCCTGTGTGTGGTCAGGTGATCGGGGCTGTACTGCCTGTGTGTGGTCAGGTGATCGGGGCTGTACTGCCTGTGTGTGGTCAGGTGATCAGAGCTGTACTGCCTGTGTGTGGTCAGGTGATAAGAGCTGTACTGCCTGCGTGCGGTCAGGTGATCAGAGCTCTACTGCCTGCGTGCGGTCAGGTGATCAGAGCTCTACTGCCTGCGTGCGGTCAGGTGATCAGGCTCTACTGCCTGCGTGCGGTCAGGTGATCAGAGCTGTACTGCCTGTGTGCGGTCAGGTGATCAGAGCTCTACTGCCTGTGTGCGGTCAGGTGATGGGGGCTTTTCTGCTGGGTGTGGTGAGGTGCAGAGCTCTACTGCCTGGGTGTGGTCAGGTGATCGGGGCTTTTCTGCCTGGGTGTGGTGAGGTGATCGGGGCTCTACTGCCTGGGTGTAGTCAGGTGATCGGGGCTCTACTGCCTGGGTGTGGTCAGGTGATCGGGGCTCTACTGCCTGGGTGTGGTCAGGTGATCGGGGCTCTACTGCCTGGGTGTGGTCAGGTGATCGGGGCTCTACTGCCTGGGTGTGGTCAGGTGATCGGGGCTCTACTGCCTGGGTGTGGTCAGGTGATCGGGGCTCTACTGCCTGGGTGTGGTCAGGTGATCGGGGCTCTACTGCCTGGGTGTGGTCAGGTGATCGGGGCTCTACTGCCTGGGTGTGGTCAGGTGATCGGGGCTCTACTGCCTGGGTGTGGTCAGGTGATCGGGGCTCTACTGCCTGGGTGTGGTCAGGTGATCGGGGCTCTACTGCCTGGGTGTGGTCAGGTGATCGGGGCTCTACTGCCTGGGTGTGGTCAGGTGACCAGGGCTGGGCTGGCTGTGTGTGGTCAGATGATCATTTATACAGTGGGGAAAAAAAAGGTTTGATCCCCTGCACGTTGTGTAGGTTCGCCCACTTACACAGAAATGAAGGGTCTATAATTGTTATCATAGTTTATATAAATGACAGAGACAGAACATCAACCACAAATCCAGAAACCACACGATACAAATGTTATAAATGGAGTTGCAGTTCAGTGAGTACAATAAGTATCTGATCCCCCACCAACCAACCATGATTCTGGCTCCCACAGACTGGCTATGTGCTCATATAGTACACAGATCAGTCCTGTCCATGGAAGAAGGCGCTCCTAACAACAACTCGTGTGTAAAAGATACCTGTTCACAGAATCACCTCACTACCACCATGGGCAAGACAAAAGAGCTGTCAAAGGACATCAGGGACAAGATGGTAGACCTGCACAAGGCTGGAATGGGCTACAAGACCATCAGCAAGAAGCTTGGAAAAGGAGACAACTGTTGGAGCGAATATTTGCAAATGGAAGAAATACAAAATACCCATCAATCGCCCTCCTCGGCCTGGAGCTCCATGGAGATTTCACCTCATGGGGTATGGATGATCATGAGAAAAGTGAGGGATCAGCTCAGAACTACACTGAGGAGCTTGTGAATGATCTCAAGGCAGGTGGTACCACAGTCACCAAACAAACCATTGGTAACACAATACACCGCCATGGATTGAAATCCTGCAGTGTCCACAAGGTCCCCCTCCTCAAGAAGGCACATGTCCGGGCCCGTCTGAAGCTTGCCAATGAACATCTAAATGATTCAGAGAAGGATTGGGAGAAAGTGCTGTGGTCAGAGGAGACCAAAAAAATTGGGCTCTTTGGCATTAACTTGACTCGCTGTGTTTGGAGGAAGAGAAATGTTGACTATGATCCTGAGAACACCATCCCAACTGTCAAACATGGTGGTGGAAACATTCTGCTTTAGGGGTGTTTTTCTGCTAAAGGTACAGGCCAACTTTGTCACGTTGAGCTACCAATGGAGGGGGCAATGTATTGTAAAATCTTAGATGAACCTTCTTCCTTCAGCCAGAACACTGAAGATGGGTGTGGATGGGTGTTCCAGCATGACAATGACCCAAAACACATGGCCAAAACAAAGGAGTGGCTCAAGAAGAAGAACATTAAGGTCATAGAGTGGCCTAGCCAGTCTCCAGACCTTAATTCCTATGGAAAATGTATGGAGGGAGCTGAAACTTCGAGTTGGCAAGCGACAGGCCAAGATGCCTTAAGGATTTAGAGAAGATCTGTAAAGAAGAGTGGACCAAAATCCCTCCTGAGATGTCCGCAAACATGGGAACCAACTACAGGAAACGTCTGACCTCTGTGCTCGCCAACAAGGATTCCTCCACCAACTACAAAATGTCTCACCTCTGTGCTCGCCAACAAGGGTCCCTCCACCAGCTACAAGAAACCTTTCACCTCTGTGCTCGCCAACAAGGGTTCCTCCACCAACTACAGGAAATGTCTCACCTCTGTGCTCGCCAGCAAGGGTTCCTCCACCAACTACAAGGAAATGTCTGACCTCTGTGCTCGCCAACAAGGGTTCCTCCACCAATTACAAGAAACATCTGACCTCTGTGCTCACCAACAAGGGTTCCTCCACCAACTACAAGGAACGTCTCACCTCTGTGCTCGCCAACAAGGATTCCTCCACCAACTACAAGAAATGTCTCACCTCTGTGCTCGCCAACAAGGGTTCCTCCACCAACTACAAGGAACGTCTCACCTCTGTGCTCGCCAACAAGGGTCCCTCCACCAGCTACAAGAAACCTTTCACCTCTGTGCTCGCCAGCAAGGGTTCCTCCACCAACTACAAGAGACATCTCACCTCTGTGCTCACCAACAAGGGTTCCTCCACCAATTACAAGAAACATCTGACCTCTGTGCTCACCAACAAGGGTTCCTCCACCAACTACAAGGAACGTCTCACCTCTGTGCTCGCCAACAAGGGTTCCTCCACCAACTACAAGAAATGTCTCACCTCTGTGCTCGCCAACAAGGGTCCCTCCACCAGCTACAAGAACCTTTCACCTCTGTGCTCGCCAGCAAGGGTTCCTCCACCAACTACAAGAGACATCTCACCTCTGTGCTCACCAACAAGGGTTCCTCCACCAACTACAGGACACGTCTCACCTCTGTGCTCACCAACAAGGGTTCCTCCACCAACTACAAGAGACATCTCACCTCTGTGCTCACCAACAAGGGTTCCTCCAACAACTACAAGAAAACGCCCTGACCTCTGTGCTCTCCAACAAGGGTTCCTCCACCAACTACAAGGAACGCCTGCACCTCTGTGCTCACCAAACAAGGGTTCCTCCACCAACTACAGGAAACATCTCACCTCTGTGCTCTCCAACAAGGGTTCCTCCACCAACTACAAGGAACGTCTGCACCTCTGTGCTCACCAACAAGGGTTCCTCCACCAACTACAGGAAACGTCTCACCTCTGTGCTCTCCAACAAGGGTTCCTCCACCAACTACAAGGAACGTCTGCACCTCTGTGCTCACCAACAAGGGTTCCTCCACCAACTACAGGGAACGTCTCACCTCTGTGCTCTCCAACAAGGGTTCCTCCACCAACTACAAGAGACATCTCACCTCTGTGCTCACCAACAAGGGTTCCTCCACCAACTACAAGGAACGTCTCACCTCTGTGCTCACCAACAAGGGTTCCTCCACCAACTACAAGGAACGTCTCACCTCTGTGCTCACCAACAAGGGCTTCCCTCCACCAACTACAAGAGACCTCTCACCTCTGTGCTCACCAACAAGGGTTCCTCCACCAACTACAGGACACGTCTCACCTCTGTGCTCACCAACAAGGGTTCCTCCACCAACTACAAGGAACGTCTGCACCTCTGTGCTCACCAACAAGGGTTCCTCCACCAACTACAGGAAACGTCTCACCTCTGTGCTCTCCAACAAGGGTTCCTCCACCAACTACAAGGAACGTCTGCACCTCTGTGCTCACCAACAAGGGTTCCTCCACCAACTACAGGAACGTCTCACCTCTGTGCTCTCCAACAAGGGTTCCTCCACCAACTACAAGGAACGTCTGACCTCTGTGCTCGCCAACAAGGGTTCCTCCACCAACTACAAGGAACACGTCTGACCTCTGTGCTCGCCAACAAGGGTTCCTCCACCAACTACAAGGAACGTCTGACCTCTGTGCTCGCCAACAACAGGGTTCCTCCACCAACTACAAGGAACGTCTGACCTCTGTGCTCCCCAACAAGGGTTCCTCCACCAAGTACTAAGTCATGTTTTGTTTGGGGATCAAATACTTGTTACTCCCTTTATAACATTTGTATGGTGTTTCTGGATTTTTGGTTGATATTCTGTCTTTATCTCCAGGAGATGAAGTCCTTATTTCCCCCCTCTGTATTCTGCGTAGCTAAATGAGGACGATGTATTGTTGTAATGTGACAGGCCGACGTGTAGAGTGTGTGATTACTTACATCTCACAGCATCCGACTCCCACCGGGTGCAGACACGTACAGAGTTGACAGTCCTTGCCAAGCCATGATTCCCCCAATCCGTAGCTCTTCCCAGCATGGCGGCACAGTGCTGTAGGTAGGAGAGAAGGTCCATGTTAGACACACTTCAGCCTCTGACAGAGGACAGACATGCATTTTACAGGGTCACATATTGCCACTGGCTTTGTGTTTGCTGGAGATGACCAGCAACAGTCCCTGTACAAGGCCATTCCCCAGCAACAGTCCCCATACAAGGCCATTCCCCAGCAATAGATCTATACAAGGCCATTCTCCAGCAATAGATCTATGCAATTCCATTTCCCAGCAACAGTCCCTGTACAAGGCCATTCCCCAGCAATAGTCCCTTACAAGGCCATTCCACAGCAACATTCTTATACAATGGCAAGGCATTCCCCCGCAATAGTCCCATGCAAGGCCATTCCCAGCAACAGTCCTATGCAAGGCCATTCCCCAGCACAAGATCTATACAAGGCCATTCCCCAGCAACAGTCCCATACAAGGCCATTTCCCAGCAATAGATCTATACAAGGCCATTCTCCAGCAATAGATCTATGCATTCCATTTCCCAGCAACAGTCCCTGTACAAGGCCATTCCCCAGCAATAGTCCCTTAAAAGGCCATTTCCCAGCAATAGTCCCTTACAAGGCCATTCCACAGCAACATTCTTATACAAGGCCATTCCCAGCAATAGTCCCGTGCAAGGCCATTCCCCCGCAATAGTCCCATGCAAGGCCATTCCCCCGCAATAGTCCCATGCAAGGCCATTCCCCAGCAATAGATCTATACAAGGCCATTCCCAGCAAACAGTCCCATACAAGGCCATTCCCCAGCAACAGTCCCATACAAGGCCACTCCCCAGCAATAGATCTATACAAGGCCATTCCCCAGCACAAGATCTATATAAGGTCATTCCCCAGCAAAGATCTATACAAGGCCATTCCCCAGCACAAGATCTATACAAGGCCATCGCCCAGCAACAGTCACATAAAAAGGCCATTCCCCAGCAACAGTCCCGTGCAAGGCCATTCCCCCGCAATAGTCCCATGCAAGGCCATTCCCAGCAACAGTCCCGTATACAAGGCCATTCCCCAGCAATAGATCTATACAAGGCCATTCCCCAGCAATAGTCCCGTACAAGGCCATTCCCCCGCAACAGTCCCGTACAAGGCCATTCCCCAGCAATAGATCCCGTGCAAGGCCATTCCCCAGCACAAGTCTATACAAGGCCATTCCCCCGCACATAGATCCCGTACAAGGCCATTCGCCCCGCAACAGTCACATAAAAGGCCATTCCCCAGCAAACAGTCCCATACAAGGCCATTCCCCAGCAACAGTCCCATACAAGGCCATTCCCCAACAACAGTCCCATACAAGGCCATTCCCCAGCAACAGTCCCATACAAGGCCATTCCCCAGCAATAGATCTATAACAAGGCCATTCCCCAGCAACAAGTCCCGTACAAGGCCATTCCCCAACAACAGTCCCATAACAAGGCCATTCCCCAACAACAGTCCCGTACAAGGCCATTCCCCAACAACAGTCTGTACAAGGCCATTCCCCAGCAATAGTCCCATACAAGGCCATTCTCCGAGCAATAGTCCCGTACAAGGCCATTCCACCACAGCAATAGTCCCGTACAAGGCCATTCCCCAACAACAGTCCCGTACAAGGCCATTCCCCAACAACAGTCCCGTACAAGGCCATTCCCCAACAACAGTCCCGTACAAGGCCATTCCCCAGCAATAGATCCCGTACAAGGCCATTCCCCAACAACAGTCCCGTACAAGGCCATTCCCCAACAACAGTCCCGTACAAGGCCATTCCCCAACAACAGTCCCGTACAAGGCCATTCCCCAGCACAAGATCTATACAAGGCCATTCCCCAGCATAGTCCCGTACAAGGCCATTCCCGAGCAACAGTCCCGTACAAGGCCATTCCCCAGCACAAGATCTATACAAGGCCATTCCCCATCAACAGTCCCATACAAGGCCACTGATCCCCAGTGCAATGATAATATACCCCAACACATCCCATAGACACAACACTCTATGTACAGTACAATGGCTGAGTGCCCTGTCCAGGCGGTACCCACCTTTGGCCTGAAAGTAGCAGCGGCTGTGTGTGTATGGAAGGATGAGGAGGAGGAGCAGTGCAAGAAGTCGAGGTGTCCGAGGATGCAGCATGCTGGAGGCTTCTTGGATGTAGGACAGATATCACTCCCCGAGGATATGAGGGGACCTGGCCTCTGTCTATGACTATGGAATTCTACCTGACTGCACCTGCTTGTGTCCCTGTGTCCTGGTGTGCAGAGTGCCCTCTGCTACTCGTACCTCTCTCCGGTGCTCCCTGTCCTGGTGTGCAGAGTGCCCCCTGTCTGGGTGATGGATGTTCTCGTGTGTCTGTCGGTGTCTCTCTCCGGGGTGCTCCCTGTCCTGGTGTGCAGAGTGCCCCCTGTCTGGGTGATGGATGTCTGATGTTTCTCGTACTGTCTCTCTCCCTGGGTGTGCTCCCTGGGTGCCCCCTGTCCCGGCGTGCAGAGTGCCCCCTGTCTGGGCGATGGATGTACTCGTACTGTCTCTCTCTCTCTCTCTCTCTCTCTCTGGGGTGCTCCCTGTCCCGGTGTGCAGAGTGCCCCCTGTCTGGGTGATGGATGTATTCGTACTGTCTCTCTCTGGGGTGCTCCCTGTCCCGGTGTGCAGAGTGCCCCCTGTCTGGGTGATGATGTACTCGTACTATCTCTCTCCCTGTCGGTGTCTCTCTCTGGGGGGTGCCCCCTGTCCCGGTGTGCAGAGTGCCCCCTGTCTGGGTGATGGATGTACTCGTACTGTCTCTCTATCTCTCCCGGTCAGAGTGCCTGTCGGTGATAGATGTACTCGTGCTATCTCTCTCTCTCCGGGTGCCCCCTGTCCCGGTGTGCAGAGTGCCCCCTGTCTGGGTGATGGATGTACTTGTGCTATCTCTCTCCCTGTCGGTGTCTCTCTCCGGGGTGCCCCCTGTCCCGGTGTGCAGAGTGCCCCCTGTCTGGGTGATAGATGTACTTCGTGCTATCTCTCTCCCTGTCGGTGTCTCTCTCCGGGGTGCCCCCTGTCCCGGTGTGCAGAGTGCCCCCTGTCTGGGTGATAGATGTACTCGTGCTATCTCTCTCCCTGTCGGTGTCTCTCTCCGGGGTGCTCCCTGTCCCGGTATGCAGAGTGCCCCCTGTCTGGGTGATGGATGTACTCGTGCTATCTCTCTCCCTGTCGGTGTCTCTCTCCGGGGTGCTCCCTGTCCCGGTATGCAGAGTGCCCCCTGTCTGGGTGATAGATGTACTCGTGCTATCTCTCTCCCTGTCGGTGTCTCTCTCTGGGGTGCCCCCTGTCCCGGTGTGCAGAGTGCCCCCTGTCTGGGTGATGGATGTACTCGTACTATCTCTCTCTCTCCCTGTCTCCTCTAGTTGATGTATTTCTGCTCTCTCCTCGTATATTTATATCATTTTGTTGCCGGTTGGGGCCAGGACCTGGAAATCCTATAAAACTCATTTCCTGCTTTGAAAGGCAGAAAAAACAAACCCCCGATGAAGGAGCTTTTTGTTTTTAATAAGGTGTGAAAATGTGATTCAGCGCCCCTCGGAGGGGGTCCGTCCCAGGGCTGGCACCCGTCCTGAGGAACCCTCGCTGGCCCTCTCTCTCACACCTCAGCCTGGCACTCCACGTCTAGTGTGGAAGTTGGCAACGCCTGACCCTGCTACACCTGTTCATTGAAGTGTTAGCTCTTCAAAACAAGGCTGAAAGGCGAATCGGATCCTGCAGTAAAATCCAATGACATGTAAGACCTGAAAATGGACAATCTCGGCTGTGCTACACCTGTGCATTGAAGTGTTAGCTCTTCAGTACAAGAGTCAGCCAGGATCACCTAGTCCAGTGACACCATCACCTACCTACAGTGCATTCAGAAAGTATTCAGACCCCTTCACTTGTCTCAATGTTATATTGCAGCCTGATACTGCAGATGTTTACATTCCTTCTTTCTCGTTAATCTGCACTCAGTACCCCATAATGACAAAGTAGAAGCAGAATTGTAGAAATATCTGAATTTATTAAAAAGAAAAGCCCTGAAATCTCACATTGGCAGAAGTATTCAGACCCTTTGCAACAAGACAATTTTAGCTCAGGTTCCTCACCTTTCTCCTGATGGTTGCTGAGATGTTTCTACACCTTTGATTGGAGGTCACAGAATTATTGCAAGGCACAGGTCAAAAAAAAACTCTGCAGTACCTGAAGGTTCACAGGAGTACAGTGGCCTCCATAATTTTCTGATGGAAGACATTTGGTACAACCAGGACTCTTCCAAGAGCTGACCGCCCAGCCAAACTGAGCAATCGGGGAAGAAGGGCCTTAGTAAGAGAGGTGACCAAGAACCCAATGGTCACTCTGAGCTCCAGAGATCCTGTGTGGAGTTTGGACAAAGTTCCAGAAGGACATCCATCATTGCAGCCTTCCACCAATCTGTGCTTTATGACAGATTGGTGAGACGGAAGCCTCTTCTCAGTGCAAAGCACATGAAATCCCTCTTGGAGTTTGCAGAAAAGCACCCCGAAGGACTCTCAGACTGGGAGGAAGACGATTCTCTGGTCTGATGAAGCCAAGATTGAACTGTGTGGCCTCAATTCTAAACTTTATTGTAATGATTATGCACAATAGGGACATGGAAGTTGTATGCATCAGTCATCTTGTTAAGGTCTCAGCCATTTTATTTTTTTCATGAGCAGTAATCTTCCTTCCCTCCCTCCTCTGGCAAACTGGAATTTGTTGCTGTAAGTTTTAACGAACTTCAAAAGACCCTCTTATCTTAACTAAAACACAATAGACCTGGTCAGAGCTGTGAACAACGAATTAGTCTTGGAAGGATGTCTGTTTCCACGAACCATGGAAAACACTTTCCTCTGCCCTCTCGTAAAACCATAATAACTCAGTCCAGCCATCACACATATGACCTGTTAGGCCATTAAGGCTCTAGGAACTCAGAGCGTGCCATAAAACATCTATTCCACATGTAACAATTCCACATACAATTCATAGAATCCAACAGGAACAGGACACATTAATATGATTTATATATTTGAATGGGGAATATCATACCGAACAAATCGAGGTCATGCATGACTATGTTAGCACATAGGAAAGGGCAGAAAGCCGTCTCCTCCCTCCTGGGTGACAAAGGTACGCTGTGTTTGGTATCCCTGGGTTCGGAATAGAATTCTGAATATTAATCTGCCAGTTACTAGAAGCCCACCTGCATGTATTGGAGGTTATTAATATTAGTATGAAACTGTAGTTGGGTTGTAAACGTGGTGGCCTCCCAGCACCCATCCCCTAACCCGGATGAAAGGTCAGAGGGTCTCTGTCCACATCCCTTTGATTTCACAGAAAAGGGGAGGACCAGGACCTCGTAAGGAAGCACTCGCTTACCATCAACTGTAGCAAGCGTGCATACAGTGATGGATACGAACCTCCATTTTGGCAAAGGACCGTCCATCTTGTATAATTATCTCTCCTCATCCCCCTCCCTCTTTTGTTGAGTGACGTGTTTGGTGTGTGGTTGAAGAGATCACAGGCACCAAACTTGGTGGGAGGGCGTCCTGGCTATAAAACTTCACTAGCTGGGTGCCTCTCTGTCTAAGAAACTCTTGCTTGGAAAGATAGCGTAAAAGTGTAAACCAAGTCCCTCACTGAACTTCAAAAGACCTTCCAAGGGGTCGTAAAAACAGACTCACTTTTCCATATAAGTTGATATCTTCATGTAGGACATAATTACCTAAACATGGAGCCCATATTCGGACGGTTCAATTTGAGACCATTCTCCTGGTATGTTGCACCCCTTATCTGACACATATAAGAGAGTAGAAAATTGTATCTCCTGAAACATTCAAGTAAATATGTCATATTTCATATATATACATTCAGCAGACGATTCTGCGTATTAATTTACCCGTGGGTGGAACGTTATATGTACCTAGGAAAAGTTATGGGCCATAATATAAGCTAGAAGAGATTTTTGTTCTAGCTTGGGTCTCCACCCCAATATCCCCCCCCCAAATGAGGCGATTGGTTCTCTGCTGTAAGGAGACACCCTGCTGAGATCCTAGAAAAAGGCTGTTATGCTTGGAGTTGGTGTGTGTGAGAGTAGAAGAGTTTCCTGTCTTAACGTTGAAACTGACAGTGGGAGATGAATCCTTTTGACTTATGAAACTTGAAGCTGCTTACACCACGGCTGACTGGCAAGTACTTTAACCCTCTAAACTCCTCTCTGTTCTCTCTTTGCTGTGCTATTGTTCTCTCTCTCTCTCTCTCTCTCTCTCTCTCTCTCTCTCTCTCTCTCTCTATATATATATTTTGCTACATCTTTTTCTGTAAATATTTTTATTGCACCCTTATGACTTTTTAGTAATAAATCTTACTTTCTGAAAGTTTTGAACTGTTTCTAAAGCTCTTTAATGCAAATTACAAATTCCTGCTGCTGAAGAGCGCTACTGTATGTTCTTAACCCTCTATAATCGGCCTGCGTTGATAGTGGTATACAGATGATTATCCAATCATCATACTGTTTTAGCTGAGATCGCCGAGTTTCCTCTTTCTCTGTACAAAAAGGAGGTGGTGGCAGTATGAAGGGTTAGTTGCGTAATTAACCTGACCCAGTAACAACCACATTCAGGCTGCCGGTACATGGATTGTGATCCATTAGCTGGAAAATCGTTGTGCAGGGTGCAGCTGGGCATGGCACTGTTATGCACGTGACATTGCGGTTTTAGATTGGCTAGACCAGGGGTGGACAAACTTTTTGACTTGAGGGCCGCAATGGGTTCATATATTGGACCCGGGGGCCGGACCAAGAGTAGATGAATGATGTGTATGTGTCATCCATAGTAAGTATAGTAATATTCCCCCATAGTAAGCATAGTAATTAATCCCCCATATAGTAATTCATCCCCCATATAGTAATTAATCCCCCATATAGTAATTCATCCCCCATATAGTAATTCATCCCCCATATAGTAATTCATCCCCCATAGTAATTCATCCCCATATAGTAATTCATCCCCCCCATATAGTAATTCATCCCCCCATATAGTAATTCATCCCCCATATAGTAATTCATCCCCCATAGTAGTAATTCATCCCCCATATAGTAATTCATCCCCCATATA